TATACCCGCGAAATTTACCCTTACGAGGGCACAAGCAGGTTGGTGGTTTTCTTTTTTGCAATAAAAGAAAAACCGTTTTTGTAAAACCACTCAAAAACCCTTTCGATTCCATTGGAATTAACTAACCCCCCCCTTGGAGCTTTGGTAAAAAATATTTTTTATTTTTTAGTTAGACCCTTCGTTGATTAGATGTCTTTCGTTGCAATTTCAGTTATACGAAGTTGTTGATAGTTCAGAGAATACGTAATTTGGTATAGCTTTTGGTCAACTACTGCTCAAAGTAATTAATTTACTATTTTCTCTTGTACATCATCATTCTCATATGTCTGGTAAAAGTCAACTTTCTTTGCTAGTTGAGCAGCGTATGGGAGTTAAGTGTTCGTAGTAGTAGTTGTTGTAGTCGTAGTTGTTGTNGTAGTTGTTGTNGTAGTTGTTGTAGTTGTTGTTATAGACTAGTTTGATTGGACTTTGAATAAAATTGGAATTTATAATGCTTTTTGACTTGTTTTCATTTCAGGTATTGTGTGGATGTCTCTTTTCGTAGTTCTTTGGGTGGGGTGAAACTTTTTAACTAGACGTCATGTTACAGTGTTGCAGTTGCAGTTGCAGTCGTAATTGTGTGCGTCTTTAGTTATCATGAAATATCGTATCGATCAATAATTTCACTCTTGTGATGATGTAGTTTACAGTAAAAATACAGTCAGTCGTTTCTTACTGTTTCCAGAAACCAAGGGCACACTGGCGATTTGTCAGTAGTAGAGTAGGTTGGCTAGTGAAAACGACAACAACAACAACTACGCTGATGATGATGATGATGATGATTTCGTCGTCGTTCCTCTTGTCACCACTTAGATAATACTACGACGATAATAACTTCATTCTAATTTCATTGTCGTGGGGGTGAGTGTCCGTGGTATGGTAATGCCTTATTTAATAAAGGTTTCATGAACTTCAATATATACTACTAATGTTCACTTGTTTGATATGTGTGGAAAAACCTTGGGTACTAACTAAAGCCAGTTCAATTGGTTTTAGTTTCTTTTTTTCTCTATAAGTGAGAGTCTCTTTGAGGAAGACTGAGAGAGTTTCTGGAGTGATTTCTTTAATCTTTAATTAGTTTAGGTAATATGAAATTATCAATTCTAATCTTTATTAGAAATGGATTTATAAATTCGAGTTCGAGTAGAGAGAGTCTGTTTACTTCGAGAATAGTTCAAAATTCTAGCTTCAGTTTCGTACTTGCTGTATAGTTATTACTTTTAAGGTTTTACGTGTGTAAACTGAAAATTAATGGCAAGCTTGACATTTGCATTTGAGTTAAATGCATTGGTTTATGTTGTTTGACTAAATTCTTTTAAGTAGATAAGCAGCCATCATAGATATTATTTTTCTTGTGAGTAAGTTGAATTAAATTTATGTGTTAGTCTATCTCTCTGTCTGTCTCTCTCTTTATTTACTATACTTTATTTGGGTTTTTATCACTCATTTCATATACTACTTAATACTGGTGAATGCTCTATTATCTTAATATTTGTTTTAGTATTATAACTATTATCAATAATAGTTACTATATAATATAAGAAAGTGCATTTCCTTCAACATTTGCTAACTGATTTCCTAACTTGGTCTCTCTTTCTCTATATATACTGTCACCATTTTTAATTAAATAAACCTTTAATATTGCATTATACCTTTGCAAATTTAGATGCATTAAGTAATATTAAGATTATTAAAATTGAAATTGAAGTTCTGAAAGACCTATTATTAAACAGAAGGTTATTGATAAAGTTTATAATCATAGTTACCATTGGATTGCAGGGTATTATAAATTCCATTAATTGAACAATTATAACTGAATTCAGTCGTTACATTGCGGTCAGTACGGTTTTGAAGTGTGCTATTTGTGGATAACGTTTAATTCAGATACTTCAAACTGGGTTCTATTGTTTCTTTTATTGACACTTTTGATAGATTATTACATTTGATAAAAGTTACTAATAAAATTTGAGATTTTATAGATATTACTAATAATTTTGTTTTTGGCTATTTGTGTTGGACTTAGCACCTGATTTATAAATTTACAGATAAGATACTACTACTACTACTATTCCTAATAGAAATAATACTTTCAGCGGATTTAAACAATGACTTCTGATAATTTGACAGATCTAATCACTGATACGCCATTTTCGTTAAATTTTAAAGCTGTTAGTAATTTATCAAATTCCAATGATTTAGATTTAGATAATACTAATTTATCAAGTGCTGGTGGTACTGGTTATTTGACTGATTCACCTTTAAACACAAGCACAAGTGTTAGTACATTAGATATGCTACAACAGAATAACAATCATTTAAATCAGATTTCAAATAAGAGCTTGATCTCAAATACTGCAAATACAAGTGTTACAAGTATTGATACGCAATTTTTAAGTAATAGCAGTATTAGTAACAACAATAACAACAACAACAAGGGTAATAATAATGATAGCAACGATAATGATATAGGTTTGGGATTAGGATTAACTTTACAATTAGATGATACTTCAATTAGTGGGAAGCTAAATAATAATATCTTGAAGGATGAGTATAGTCCACAATCTGTTGATCAGATTTCAAATATTAATAGTAATAACGCCAATAACAACGACCATATCAACCTCAGATACAATTATAGCAAAAAATTGAATAATAACAATTATGCTGGGAATTTGGAATCGTTTTTAGATGATTATGTGTCCAATGAACTACTGATTAATGATAATCATTTCACTGATTCAAATATTGATAGAAGATACAGTGAAGTCATTACAAATCCTTTGAAATCACTAACTAATCAACGTAACTCAATTTCTCATTCAATTGATTTTTGGAATTTATCAAATAGCAACAATAGCAAATTAAAAACAAAGGCAAAATCAAGATTAAGATCAAAATCAAGACCAAATTTAAGATCACAATCTAAAATTATAAATAGTGATGGTAGCCCTCAAGTAGATTCAAATGTATCTCAAATGCTCAACGATTTCAATATGAACTTTCATGATAACGATTCAAAAACCTGTAACAGTAAAAGTATTAATAGTGGCGGTATGTTAATAAAATCTCCAGGAAATAATAGTTTTAACGATAATTTTAATTTCAATTTTAATGATAACGATAATAGTGATGATAATTTGAATTATACTTTTAATAATAAACAAAGAGCTAAATCTATTTCAAGCATAAATAACAATTATAATTCAAACAGTGGTAACATATATTCCCCTCAACAGCAATATTCCATTAAAAAGCAAAACCAATATCAAAGAAATTCAATTTCATTTGTTGATAACAATTCAATACGAACAAATGAAAAGTTACTCTCAAAATTTAGTAATAGTTCAAGTATCACTAATATTTTATCTTATGAAAGCGCAATTTTATCTGATGATGACAATGACAATGAAATAGATAGAATTTTAAAATCACCAAAATCTACATCCTTCTCTATCAATAATGATTCAATTGAACAAAAATTTATAAAACCTTCAATGATTTTAAATGAAAATGCTTCGAAAGCTGCTATTGCAGCTACCTCTGGGGTGAACTCAATTGATATGTTACCAAATTTTCTTGATAACACGACAAACCAATATGATTTAACATTAAATCCTACATCTCTTTCATTAAATAAGACTCCAACTCAAAAATTCTTCAGTCCACCTATTAAGACTCAAAAGAGTATAACTCCTGTGAATTTCAGCTCTACTACAAGACATACATCATCTAAGAGTGTCGGAAATGGTAGCTCAAGTGCATCTAATTTGAATACTGTTGAAAATCCTCGTCCTGCCACTTCAAGTAGGAGGAGGAAGTCATCAAGTAAATCGACTACACCAGTTAATTTAGCCGATGATGAATCGAAACCTTTCAAATGTACTGATTGTGAGAAGGCCTTTAGACGTAGTGAACATCTAAAGAGACATATACGATCAGTTCACTCTTCTGAAAGGCCATTCGCCTGTAACTACTGTGAAAAGAAGTTTAGTAGAAGTGACAATTTATCACAGCACTTGAAAACTCACAAGAAACATGGGGACTTCTGAAAAGATAATTTTGAACAACCTAATGATTATTTATTAGAAAGGCAAATAAGGGTTAAAATCAGTAGATTATATATATATATATATATATAGATATATAATAATCTTGTATAAATTTACGTTTATGCAAATGAGAAAAGATCTTGCGTGACATAGTTCGAAGTTAATTCGTTGAAGTGTCTTTTTCATGCAAGTAGGGAAATAAAACACATATGGGGGAACGATATGACCCAATTTATCAATTGTACAATATAATTTTACAACCATCATAAAGATATTCCATATCTCATTATTGATAAAGTTTAATGCTTGTAATTTATTTTACCTTAAGTCACGTGATATACATATATTTAGATTACGCGTCTTTGTTCTATAATTTTTTTTTTCGAATTTTACGCGTTCGAATTGGCTGTCACTCATCTATCAACATCTCTTAGCTACGAAGGCCATATAATTCTAAAATTTATATACAGTCTATTAGCCATTGATATAATATATTTCAGATTGATATTATTATATTAAATTATTTTAATTAGAAGTGTTTCTATATCATCTTCACTATTGTCTGATACGTGAGGAAATCAGATAATGTATCCAACACTTTTAACCAATACGGTTTTTGAAGAGAGTAAAGGGAAAGAGGAAATTCCGTATTATCAACGTCCTGTAACTCCATCGAGTTTTACTTCTTCAGCGTCATCGATATCATCGATATATAAACCAACTTACCATTCTATTATTGAAGATAATGAGACGTATATTGTCAGTCAAATTTCTTCATTCATTAAGGATATTACTAGAGATGTGAGAACTCATGATAACGTTAGAATCATTAATAATTATGCTATTCAATCCTCTCTTGGCAAAGGTCAATTTGGTAAAGTTTATAAAGCGGTTTCAATCGAAAATAATAACAATGAAGGAAGGGTAGTTGCAATTAAAGTAATACCAAAGAAGCCAATGAATTCTCAGCAATTCTCCATGAATCAGATACTAAGACAACTACAGATATGGAAAAATAAAGGTATAATTACGTCTTCTAATTCGATATCTTCTGATCAAACCGTAATTTTAATGAATTTGCAGAAATGTAGATGGGAATTGTTTGTTTTATCAAAACTAGATAATCCATATATTACAAAAATGATTGAATGTTTAGATTCTCCAAATAGTAAAAATCTTTGGATAGTAAATGAATGGGGAAATCTGGGTGAGCTTCAGTGGAAAAGAGATACACAGCCCCAGATATTAGAGCAATGGGAACCATTTTTAGAAGGTTGTAATAAACGAGATTTTATTTCATTTAGTGAAAAAGTTTTGTTAGATATTACCAAAGGTTTGAAATATTTGAAAAGTCAAGGTTGTATCCATAGAGACATAAAACCTTCTAATATATTAGTAGATTCCATTGGTAAAAAATTCAAAATATCAGATTTCGGTTGTAGCATTATCATACCTTCAGAGTTGTTCATAAGCAACCCACTTCTGAAATCTGCTTTCCAACTTGAGTTGCACAAAATAGTAGGCACACCAGCATTCATTGCACCGGAACTATGTTATTCAGAAGACTTGACTTTTCAGGATAATATTGATGATGGTTTCCAATTGGATATTTGGGCATTAGGGGTGACATTATATTGCTTACTATACAATGACTTACCGTTCTATGGAGACAATGAGTTTGAAACTTATAACAAAATATCGTCTGAGACCTTGCATCATAAATTGAATGGGAATTATCTGAACGATTTAGTGATTGGTAAAATCCTTGAGAAGGACCCTTCTAAAAGAATTAAGATCGAAGAATTATACAGTCAAATATTTGAAAAATATGAAACAGATGTTATAAACATCGATGAGAAAAATCCTGTATTGAGAGTGAAAAGTAAAACTAAGATGAAGAATTTTTTTAGCAAGTTAAAGAATTTTAAACCTTCAATTCAAAATAATACTGGCGATTATAATAGCACCCCAAATACCACAACAGAAGTGCCATTTAATAATAATATCAGGAACAACAACGATGTAACTACCAAACAAACAGTATTAGCTGGTCCTAATACAAATTTTTCAAAGTTTGAAGAAACACCTTATCGACTTTCCAATGATTCTTCAGCATCATCAATGATTTCAAGTCTTGGATCTCATTCAACATCGTCCTCATTAGCAGGACCTGTCAAGATTCCAGATTTGCTAGATAGTTTGAAATCCCAAAGTCCAAATGACTACGAAGCCCACAATAATAATAATGATAATCACAAGACAGTCATTGACATTGGTTTGTACACAGATGATGATATACATTCAATGAAAGAATTAAATACACCCAGTCGACATACTAGAACAAGAAGTACAGTTTCGTTGATTGAAGAATCTCCATCTAAGCCACTTCAAAGAGTCATTACCCAATCACCACTATTCTCTAAAAGTGAAGAACTATTACCATCAATTGCATATATTCAGAACTCACCTTTAAGAAAGGTTGAAAAGAAACCACTGCCAGTAAGCAGAGGAATTGCCCATTCTAAGAATATCATTGATTTCAGACAGTACTTAGATTCAGAGGATGATCAAAATGAGAAACAAACCATGAATGGAGGACTAACTTCAGATTCACTGAGTGATATCAAGAATTATTTAGCATACTTAGATAAAAATCTTAATAATAACAATACTTAGGCATACAATTCGATAGATTATAACATAACATAATGTAATGTAATGTATTAGAATATAATATGATTCACAATTATTATATCAAGAAATATACCTTTTAAGGTATAATATAAACAGTAATTCATTGAGAAAAATCTCATGATAATAAAGAACTGAGGAGTAACTTCTCCAATTCAAACCTCTAATTTTAGATTTAAATTGAATGTCTCTAAGAATTTGATCAACTAACCAGATAAGGTTAGATTTAAAATTGTTAACTGTCACTATAATTCAAATGTCGTAAGGAAAGAATGGGATTGACATCTTAAACCAAGACATTTCAATATAAGCATCGTGTTAATAATAATTGATTCAAGAGCTGTATAATTAGATTTAATTAAAATTGTGAAAGTATATAAATCATGAGGGACTCACCTTGTTGCCAATAGTAATGGATCATCAACTTATCAATATTATGGTATGATATGTTATATTTACGATCTGAGATCAAAGCTAGACCAGTTGAAATATATGCTGATGGATGATGATGATGTCTAAGGATAACTGTATAACGACTACTGTAGTAACAACAACTTCAACAGCAGATGATGCTGGCGATAGTGATGAGGTTTCTGCGGTTTATATAACTGACTGTAAATTAGAGAACCCATTTATAGAGACAGGAGATATTATCACATCACGTAAAAGATCCACTGGCAAGGGTATATTTAATCGTTACAGTAACGACAGTAACGACAGCAACAATAACAAATATAGTAGCAGTAGCAGTAGCAACAGCAGCAGCAGCAGAAGTAAAAAGTCAGTTAAACATCTTGAATTTAAATCTAGTCATCATCATCAATTACATCCATGCAAAAGGGTTAAAACGGATAGAAATAATTCATCAGTAATCAACAAGATTATGGGTCAAAATTGTTACCATTCACTTCTATCAATTAGTGGACTAAAAATCAATTCATTGAATATAAATGATGTGTTCCCAAGAGTAACCTCTGATACACTTTCAAAAATATTGAACGACAATATTCATTCACCACATTATGATAATTACTTTATTATAGATTCAAGATTTCATTACGAATATTCTGGTGGTCATATTCGCAATTCAATTAATATTAATACAACTCAAGATATTCATAATTTGTTAATAACAAAGGGTCAGTTTAGGTTACCAACACTAATCATTTTCTATTGTGAATACAGTAAGTATCGTAGTCCAAAACTAGCTTCACACTTAAGGAAGTGTGATAGATATTATAATAAAAATAATTATCCAAAATTATTTTATCCTGATATTGTATTATTAGAAGGTGGTTATAATACTTTTTATAAAGAATATCCACAATTATGTTATCCCAATGGTTATATTCCAATGAATTCACCAAAAAATAGAGATACTTGTGGAAATAGTATGCAAAGTTTAAGAGATAATCTAAAAAAAGAATTCGTTGCATAATATCTTTAACAATAATTTTACAAAAACTACATATATGCAAATCAACACACCATATCCTTAGATCGAAGAACTAGAAAATTCAATAGGATGCTTTTAAAAATATGAATCAGCAGCGATGCTCAGCTACAATCCTCTAGGAAATAAAGAATTGATGAATGGT